CCTAAATATAAAATATACAACTGCTAAAGAAAATATAGAAGAAAATTTGCACAATCCTGCATCATAAAAGGTACAACACTATCAAGAGAATGAAAAGACAACCCACGGACTGGGAGATGTTGCAAATCACATATCTGCTAAAAGAATTATATCCAGGCTAAAGAGCTCTTAAAACTCAACAATAAAAAAACCCCAGCAAAGCCTGTGTGGCTCAGTGGTTGAGCATCAAACTATGAGCCAGGAGATCATGGTTCAATTCCCAGTGAGGGCGCATGCCTGGGTTTCTGGCTTGATCCCCAGCAGGGGGCATGGAGGAGGCAGCCGATCAATGACTCTCATCATTGATGTTTCTATCTCTGTCTCTCCCTTCCTCTCTCTGAAATCAATAAAAACATATTTTAAAAAGTTTAAAAACGGGCAAAAGATCTGAACAAACTCTTCACAAAGAAATTATACAGAGAAAAATTAGCAAATAAAAATATGTTCACAATAAAAAATTACCCAATTAAAAATGGGCAAAGAATTTGAATAGCCATTTCTCCAAAGAAAATATAGGGTGTCCCAAAAAATGTACACACACACTTTGAATAATTTATAAAGGCAGTGTTTCTTAAAATATATTTCATTTTCAAAATTGAGCTATCAGCTGTTAAAGTGTGTATACATTTCTTTGGGATACCCTGTATACAAGTGGTCAACAAGTATATAAAAAGTTGCTCAATGTCACTAATTGTTAGAGAAATGCAAATCAAAACCATAAAATATCACCTCACACCTATTAGGAAGCTGTCATAGATCAGAAAAGACTAAAGAGGCACAACAGCTAAATGCAATGTGGGCTGGAACAGAAAGAGGATGTAGCAGAAAAACTGATGAAACCCAAATGAAGTCTACAGTTTAATGTTATTGTACCAGTGTTAACGTCTCAGTTTTGACCAGTGTAATATGGCTTTATACAGGGTGGGGCAAAAGTAGGTTTACAGTTGTAAGTATGCAAAACAGAGTTCATTCTTACATTATTATTTACTAATTATTGTATTATTTTCCATGTGAACAACTATAAACCTACTTTACCCCACCCTGTATATATCAGTCTGCTAGGGCTGCTATAAAAAAATACCAAAGAGTGGGTGGCTTAATCAATAGATATTTATTTATTTCTCACAGTTCTGGATATTGGGATGTCCAAGATTAAGGTGCTTGCTGATTTGGTGAGAGAACTATTCTGAGAGAGACAGACAGACAGACAGACACAGAGAGAGATGGAGACAGAGTGACAGAGACAGAAACAGAGAGGCAGAGAGATATACAGAGATAGACAGAGACACAGAGACAGACTGAGACAGTGCCCTCTTCTGAAGGTACTAATCCAATCATGAGGATCCCACCCTCATAACCACATCTAAAGCTAATTACCTCCCACAGACCCATCTCCAAATACTATTACAGTGGAGGGGGGGAAGGGCTTCAACATACAAATTTTTGAGGAGGGCCACAATTCAGCCCACAGCATTATATGATGTCTGTATTAGGGATACCAGAGTGAAGAGTATGCAGGCGCTTGCTGTACTATCTTTGGAACTTTTATGTAAATCTAAATTTATTCAAATTTCCCCCCCCCCCGAATATATCTATATTGATTTCAGATAGCAGAAAGGAGAGGGAGAGGGAGAGAGAAAGAAACATCAATGATAAGAGAGTCATTGATCAGCTGCCTTCTGCATGCCCCCTACTGGGGATCGAGCCCACAACCCAGGCACGTGCCCCAACCAGGAATCGAACCGAGATCTCCTGGTTCCTAGGCTGAACGATGCTCAATCGCTGAGCCACGCCGGCCAGGCTGGGCCAAAGATTTTTTTTTAAGTGAAAAAAATCAAGGTAAGAAGAGTTAAAGGTGCTGGTAAGGAGACTTCAGATCATCAATCACAGGATCAGGCTGGATTAAAGGGAAGAGAGATGGTGATGGAATCGCAATACTGGGAAAAACAGGAGGATCAAGGTTCTGTGAAGTTGGAAACAGGTTTAGGTCACTGTAAGTGATGTCTTTTCTTTCCCTGAGGAATACAGAACATTAAAAGCTCAAGTGCAATGGAGTGTGCTTCGTTATAATCGAGTGAAAAAGAACAGTCAGGTGAAGCAGAAGAATAAAAGATCAGAGAAATAAAAAAGGGAAGATTTTTCCTTCAGAAAGGCAGGTGGTCCACAGCCAGTGGTCAACATCAGCTCGTTTTTTAGCAGCTTCTCAATTTCTCTTAAACAATAAAATTATACTTCCAAATATCAGTGGAAACATAACAATTTACCATTTTAACACAGTTGATCATTTAAAATCCAAAAAATAGACTAAGAGTCTGAAATTTCAATATGCCTCTTGATACTAACATTAAAGCACTGTAATCGCTGCTAAGATACAAGTAAATAAAGACAACAGAGAAACGATGTCAGGTTATTTTAATAACTATTTCAATATGAAGGAACAAAAAATGGAGAGCACATGCTTGTTTGGCGCTAATAGTGTAACAATTTGCAGTCTTAAAGATGAAGCAAATTGCATAATTTGAACCAGATGTTGAAATGGTTTAGGATTGGTACCCAAGAACAAACATTTCAGAAAAGATGTAGAAAGGTAACCACACATTCACTACAGGAAGTCCTCTATGCAATCATCTCTACATTGCACTTTACTTGGTTTCTCAAAATGAAATTGTGATCTGTTCTCAGTAATATATATATATTTAAATCCCACAGGAGATTCAGCATAGTTGTATAGTCAGATTTCTGGCTTTATCACTCACTGGCTATGGGAACTTGGGAAACTGAAAGTCGCAGAGCCTCAGAGTAGATATCTATATCTGTAGCCCCCCCCCCCATCTGTGGTTTTTCTCTGTGTGGTTTTAGTTATCCACCGTCAACCATAGTCTGATAATATTAAATGGAAAATAAGTTTTAAATTGCATGCTGTGCCAAAATCTCATGCCTGGGATGTGAACCATCCCTTTGTCCATCCATACTGTACATACTCCCCACCCATTCATTAGTTTCTTAGTGGCCAGCTCAGTTATCATGTCGACTGTCAAGGTATTACAGTGCTTATGTTCAAGTAACCCTTGTTTTACTTAATAGTGGCCCCAAAGAACAAGAGTAGTGATACTGGCGATTTGGATATGCCAACGGAAGCCGCAAAGTGTATGTATACACAGGAAAAAACATAGTATATATAAAGTTCAGATATCTAAAGGGGTCTTGGAATGTATCCCCTACCCATGGATTGGGGGGGGCCGCTACTGTAGTTAAACCTCTCTCATGAGATTATCTTCTTGTTTAACTTAAGGTAATACGTACACAGTGCTTTCCATGGCACTTGACATAAAGTACTCAGGAAAAAGTTGCTAGTATTATTACTACTACTACTACTAAAATAACACCAAAATTATCCTTCAAATCTAAAAACAAAACAAAACAGGTTTGAAAGCAGTGAGAGAACAAGAGTAGCAATGATAGGAGGTTGTGGAAAGAGAACAGAATACTGGATTTTGGTGTAGAGGACATCCAGGCTGTGGTCATGGCAGTTTGTGGTTAAAGTGGCATAAAGGTAAAGGTCACTGTTTGGAGTTGAGGTCAAGGAATTGGGCGGACGTTGAGGCTGGTTATCCACATGATGCCTCATTATCTCTCAGAATGAGGACAGGAAATGAGGTGGAAAGGACAACTCAGTTGCAAAGACCTCACTAGATGCAGGTGATACCTTGTAATACACACGAACACATTAAAAAATGAATACAAATACTACATAATGATATCACTGGAGCAGTGCAAAATTAAATATTTATATCTGTAAGACTCCTCTACAAATAGCAAATGTGAAATAAAATACCCGACATACACTTTAAAAAAAAATCTCAGCATCCTTTCTTACTCTGTAATATCTTCCTCCCATGTTCCCACACACAGCAGTACTCTTAGCTACTGGACAGGATGGTAGCTCCCCTGAGTTGCTTACTGAGATTCCATTTTCATTCAGATCTCAGCTATTCTACCCCCTCACTCCATTCTGGCTTTTGCTTCTTTAGGTACAAAGTCTGACAACGGGTGGCTCATTTATAGCTTTCATATTTGAAGTGAACGAAGCTTTATGCACATTCTGGCTTTTTATGGATTTTCTCTGACAGAAGAGATTCAAATCATAGCTGCTACCTACCAGTCTAAGAGAGTCAGAGTCACCTAAAAGGATCTGACGTGCTGTAACTTTAAGTCTAATTCATGCCACTTTTTTCTATAACACATCATAATATTTTTTCCAAAATCTTAAACATTTTATCAAAGACCAGCTACTTCAGAAACTAGAGACACTTAAGCACTGATCTATTCATATAGTTTCTATATAGCTAAAGAAGTTTACATCAAATGGACAAAAAATAGTACAGAAGACCCATATATAGAAAGATTTAAAGCCCTGACTGGGTAGCTCAGTTGGACAGAGCATCGTCCCGATACACCAAGGTCAGGGCACATACAAGAAGCAACCAATGAATGCATAAATAAATGGAACAACCAATCAATGTGTTTTTTTTTCTCTCTCTCAAATAAATAAATAAACATTTTTTAAAAAGTTTTGAAAATCTCACCTTTAGAAAGCAGGTCAGATAGACTCAAAGAACTTGCTGAATGTAGGAAACAACATAAAACTTTTTGCTGGGGCATAAAGGTAGGAACCAGTCCATATGGTCAAAAAGAAGTTATTTTACCCATGGACACAGCCAACAACAGTGTGGTAACTGATGGGGAGGGCAGTGGGGGAGGTGAAGGAGGGCATGGGGGCAATAAATGGTGAGGGAAGGAGACTTGACTTGTGGTGGTGAACACACAATACATTGTACAGATGATGTGATGTAGAACTGTGCACCTGAAACCTGTATAATTTTGTTAACCAGTGTCGCCCCAACAAGCTCAATAAAAAACAAACAGAAAAAGTTCTTTTGCCTTCTGGCCTAAATGCTTGCCTCTAGTCTGGGTTCAGAGAAAGGTCCTGATCACTTGAACTGGTTGTCAATCAAAGTCCCCTTCATTTTTGCTTTCTTGGCTTCCAGTTCAGCCTGGGGAGGAAGAAAAGTATATGTCCTGACCCGTGACATGAAATCCTTATTTTCCTTCCTTAGTTTAACTGCCCAAACACTACCCCTCCATGCTCATTTAGTATACAAACCTGAACAGTGCTTCTAAAATCCTTATGAATCTCTAGCAATTGCTTTCCGACTTTTCTGATGTTATGGCACACACAGAAAATGATACTCTCCGTATGACAAATTGGGGCAAATACACAAGGCTGCAGTCAAAGGTGATCAGTGCAGGGATCCCCCAGCTCCAGGACCCCCGAAGGGCCGAGGGAATCAATCAATATTGGGGTACACTAGTATCTTATACATGGCAAAACAGAAAGAACAACACTGTTCTAGAACAGCTCTACTTAAAGTTGTGTGGTCCATGAACTGTTTGTTATTGGTCTGTGCGAGATATGTACAAAAATTGACCCGGCCAGTGTTGCTCAGTGGTTGAGCATCAACCCATGAACCAGGTCACAAGTTCGATTCCCCGTCAGGGCACATGCCCAGGTATGGGGCTCAATCCCCAGTGGGGGGCGTGCAGGAGGCAGCCAATCAATGATTTTCTCATCCATGATGTTCCTATCTCTCTCTCTCTCCCTTTCCCTTCCTCTCTCTGAAATCAATTTAAAAAAACATATTTTTTTTAAAAAAGAATTCTTGCACAGATAAAATTATTTTTTTAAAAAAACACAAAACAGCAATGACTAGCCCCAATCCTAGTTCTACCAATGTAGCACTATCGTGTGCCATCACATCCTGGGAAAGCATCATAGGCTCCAATCTTTAACTCCTGACCTTAGTCTACAAGTAGCAGATTAAAATATCATTCTACTTAGGGCTAGCTAACAGGTACTATCATTCAAGAGCCTGGAGCCTGTGGTCTGACAGTCACAGCCCAGAGTTAGACACCTGGCAGCCAACTACACTAGTAACCCCCAACAGACTTCCTAAAAGATTTTCCTGACTGCCAGAGGATCTTTCCAACCAAGAGATCCAAATAGTCCAGCCCAGCACCTTGTCACTACATGTCACTCACCAGCTCCTGCAGCCGTCGTTTGCTCATGCCTTTGCGCTCCAACTGTTTTTCAATCACTTTGGCATTCTGTGCATATGAGTCAGCAACTTCCCTCTGAAGGGAAAAGAGAAGAGTCCTTAAACCAGCAGTCACACCAATGGGTAACAACAGAGACCTTAAGTAGCAATTTATACCACTCAAATTATGAAATTATCACTGAAATGGCAGGGCTGCTCCCTTTCAACTCTTCAGCTTTACAGTAATCCAGGAGAGTTCAGGTTTCAACGAAACCATTTAAAAAAAAAAAACAGAACAGATAACATCCCTCTCTGTAAACATAATTATACTGAAGTACCACAAAGGTAATTGCTGCTACTGCTAAGGGTAGACTCAGGAACCATCAGAGCTGGACTGGCAGGGACCTGAAATCATTGAGCCCAACAGCGTTTAAACTGAAGAGGGATGAGGGATTTACCCCTAAGGCATCTCAAAAACACTGTATGGGAAAAAAATCACTGATTTAGTCCAACTCCCTGGTTCTCATTTTACAGATGGTGCTGGGATCCAGGGGTGCAGGAACTAGCCGGTATCAGTTTCTTACAGGCAGAGCAGTCTCTAAATATTCTGCTACTGGGATGCTCTAGTTCTAAAGCCCCTTTCCTTTCACACACCCCAGTCCAATTCCCTTGAGAGCCAAAGCACTTACAGCTTCAATCTCCTCTTCCTCTTCATCAATAGTAGACACGGTGACAGAGCTGAACTTGCCCATGTCTTTAGTCCGTTTGGTCATCATCACCTGGAGTCATAGAAGAGGAAATCAGTCTAGATACAGCAAGAGGCTCTGAACCGCGTGTGTGTGTGCATGCAGGTGGGCACATGCCTGGGTGCTGGGGAACGTAGTTTTGGGGGGAGTGGACATCCACCTCTTTGAAACAGGCTGGCCTATCTAAAAGTGCCAATGTTTTTATTTGCATTATATTTTTCCAACATTTCTCATCAAGGGTTTTTACAGTACATTTAAAAAATAGCCTGATTCATTCCATTTTTAATTGTTTACACTAGAAGAAGAATTTTGGAAGGAAATAAATGTGAGTAAAAACCATATAATTTCTAATTTTACTCATAGGGTAGCTGTTGGAAAGAAGAAACACAATATTATGCACAAAAATGGCATTTTCTTAATAAAGAATGCATTCATAAAGGGCAATTTCTTATGCACTATAACCTTATTTTAAAATTTAGGGCTAAATCCGTAGCCATATATTATTAATCCTCACCCAAGGATATTTAATTGGTTTTAGAGAGAGGGGAAGGGAACGAAAGAAACATCAATGTGAGAGAAACATTGATTGGTTGCCTCCCATATGCGCCCCAACCAGGGATCAACCCACAACCCAGGTATGTGCCCTGACCAGGAATTGAGCCCACCACCCTTTAGTGTATGGGACAATGCTCCAACCAACTGACCCACCCAGCCAGGGCAAAATCTGTAGCTATATTAACCAGTCTGTCTCCGTCAATGACAATTACCTTCTTAGGAGGCTCTTGCTTCTGCGTATATATATTCGTTTTCCCAAAACCCTGGCCAAACTTGACTACTGCTCCATCCACAATGAAGGTCACGGGAGCATTCTTTGGCTGGGACTGGTAGAAGAGTGGCAGTCCACACCTGGGAACAGCAGAGTGAGTCTCTGGGAGGCCTCAGAATTCAGATCCCCGAAACTGACTTGTAAAGAATGCTCAGATTTCAGGAATATTTTTGTTTGTGGCATAAACTAATGATGTGCTCTTTCCAGTGTTTCCCAAAACTACCCAATAAGAATCACTGAGGGTGCTTGTTAAAACTGCTGATCAGATGCCTACACCCCATCCCCAAAAGATCCTGATTCAGCAAATCTGGAGGGGGGATGGCTTTGGAATCTGTCATTTTCCTCAGCATCCCAAGTGATTCTTATCATCAGACAAGTCTGATAAACACTGGCTCCTGCTACTGATTGCTTTCTGGTAAAAACTGCTGCCATTCTTCCCAGGTGGCTGGGTAACTAGTCTGGAGGTTTTGTCTAGTTTTGTTTTTGCAGTATTGAGAGGGCATGTAAAGGCTCCACTGCAGTGGTTGGCTCACAAATTCCTGTAGTAATCATCCTACTTTCTTTGGCTGGTCATTTTTATTATACTTTTTCAGCTAAATGAAGACCCATAAGATCTGATAAAGCAATTTAATGAATCCAGTGTGGCTGTGAACTAAAAACATCTTCTGGGCCATCACCCTGCTTTAATTCTCCTTGTCTGAGTCTTCTGAGAGCCAAGATATAACTGTGATTATGAAACAAGATTAAACTTACTATTGTTTAATATTCTATTAATCGAAACTGGAAATATATATTGCATTAAATAAACTTCTGGGGCCTGGGATCCTATAACAGGCTTTATAAATGGCCTGGATTAAATTCCTCTGTTACATTTACCGTATGACCCAACAATCTCACTCCAAGAGGAAACACATGTTCCCACCAACATTTATACTAGAATGTTCATAGCAGCTCTATTTGTAATGGCCAAAACCATTCAGAACTCAAATGCCCTTCAACGAGTGGACGGTGAAACAAAGGAATACTACTCAGCAATAAAAAAGAACAAATTACTGACATACATAACAATTTGGATGAACCCCAAAAGCATTATGCTAAGTGAAAGAAACCAGGTGTAAAAGATACAGATTGTATAGAGTAAAACACATATTATAGAATTTACATAAACTTTTAGAAAAGGCAAAACCACAGTAACAGAAGGCAGATGGGTGATTGCCAGGGGAGAGAGACAAGGAAGGGCACATGGGGTACTGGTAATGTTCTGTATCATGATAGTGGTGGTATTACATGACTGCGTGCTTTTGTCAAAATCCATCAAAAGGTACACTTAAGAAGGGCAAATTTTATTACATATAAATTACACTTCGACTTACGAAAATTATTTATGTTAAAAAACCTATTTTTGGCCCGGCCGGGCATGGCTCAGCGGTTGAGTGTCGACCTAGGATCCAGGCGATCAGGGTTCGATTCCTGGTCAGGGCACATGCCCGGGTTGCGGGCTCAATCAATGACTCTCTCATCATTGATGTTTCTATCTCTCTCTCTCCCCCTCCTTTCCTCTCTCTGAAATCAATAAAGATATATTTTAAAAAAACAACAAAAAAAACCCCACACCTATTTTTGTGGCCAGCTGGTCAGAGATGTAACTTTAGTCTCTTTGAGAAGCATATTGTTATTTGGGTAGAAATTATATGGATAAAGATACAACAGAGAATTGCATCCAAATAATTCTGTTCCTAAGCCTCTACTTGCTTATGCTCAGAGAAACCCACTGTTAATACTTACTTTGCACACTTCTTCCTGTACTGTCGTTCAATGCCTTCAGGCCTGCACAAAAAATGGAAGTTAAAGAAGAAAGATATGAATAAATCTCATAACCTACCAACATCACAATCTCATTACTTCAAATGCTAAAAGGGCCTTTCAAAATTTTTCATTTTGCCCTGGACGGTGTGGCTTTAGTCAGGCATCATTCCGTGCACTGGGAGGTTGTGGGTTCAATTCTCAGTCAAGGGCAAATGCTGGGACTGTGGGCTCAGTGCCCGGTGGGGGGCATGCAGGAGGCACACTCACACCGATGTTTCTCTCTTCCTTCCTCTCTCTCTGAAAATCAACAAACTATTCTTTAATTTTTTTTTCATTTTATAGATCAACTGGTTATGAAACATGTATTGATTATTTAAGCACTCCTTCCCCCTAAAAACATTTACTGAGCCCCTAATAGGGGTCCAGCATCTCCCTGACAAAGGAAGAAGAGGAGTAGTAGTATAGTCATAGCAGCTTAGTCGCAGTAGTGACGACAACAACAATAGAGGTAACCACTTGTATAGCTTTTACTAAGTGCCAGGAGCTGTTCTAAAATGTACATGCAGTAACTCATTTAGTCCTCACAACAACCCTGTGAGGTAGGTCATACTATCATTCCCACTTTACAGATGAGGGCTCCTAAGCACAAAGCAATCACATGATTTGCCCAAGGTCTTAGAGTTAGGAAGGAGAAGAGACTGAATTCAAGCGCAGGCCGTCAGGCTCAAGAGCTCACAGGGCGCTGCCCCAGATGACCAACCCACCTCATTGCTTCACAGAAACCTGGGGCTCATCCTTGATGCTTCACTTTCCGTCATCCCCCACACCTATGTATCAGCAAATACTGTGCATTTTATCTCAAAAAAAAAA